TTTGTCCTTCTGTGACTGACTAAATTCACTCAGCATAATGACCTCCAGATTCCTCCATGTTATGTTTCACAGCTTCATCGTTGTTCTTTATCATTGTGTAGTATTCCATTGTGTGGATATATCATAATTTGTTTATCCATTCATCTGTTGATGGGCACCTAGGTTGTTTCCATTCCATTAAAGAAAATACGTAAAGTTTTAACATATGCAAAATGGTACTATAGAAGGCTTAGAGGTACAAAGATATATAGTAAAAGTATAAAGAAATATATGTGGGAATGATAATCCTTTCTGATGGGAAAGGAGGAGAATGTGATTAGGGAGGAGTACACAAGGGGCTTGAACCATTTTGGTATTTCTTAGCCAGGTGGTGAGTACATAGGTATGGGTGGTATTTTATTTAGACTATTATAGAAGTCTTAAATAATGCATTGTAAATATTTTTATAAAGAAAGAAAAATGCCTTATGCTTTGTAGGATTACATTTTTATTTATTTAATTTTTCCAATGTATTTTACAGGAAGCAACCGGTTTTGTGAGGATTGGATGCGGGCATTTTTAAATGGTGCTGAAGGGGGCAACCCTTTTCTTTTCCGACAAGTACTGGAGAACTTTAAATTAAAGGTAATTAGTCGGCTGTGTACCAAGTACCATAGACAGTTTTTGTCTCAATTTTAATTAGTACCCATGACAAGGTAATAAATCTGCTTTGTAGCTGCCATGTCTATTAAAAAGGACATTCTGAAAGCTGGAATCCTGAGAAGGCATTTATTTTATTTATATTTTTCAGTGGCTTCTGCATACATATCCTTTTATTTCCAATTAATTGGCTTGAATACTTGCTTTTATTTAAGGGACAACGATCTTTTAATTTGTGATGTATCTTAGTTACAAAGCACAAAAACATAGTCCAGTGTCTAAGGGTTCAGAATTCAGGGTCAGGGTAGGTAGGAGGGGGAGTATTGTCACCTTATCTAGGATTTTTTTTTTTTTTAATATACATGAGTTTTTGTTTTATCAAGGGCAAAACATATTAGCAATAAAAATGACAGAAATATTTAAAATAAAAAGCAAGCATCTCAGGAACATATATTGAGTTCTCAGCTGGATAGAAGATATTTTTCAAGCTGCATTGTTATCTCACTACATATTTAACTGGCTAATCTTTTTCTAGGCCATACAAGACACAAATAATTTGAAGAGATTTATCCGACAGGCAGAAATGAATCATTATGCTTTGTTTAAATGTTACATGTTCCTAAAGAACTGTGGTAGCGGAGATATCCTTTTGAAGATAGTTAAAGTGGAACATGAAGAAATGCCGGAAGCCAAAAATGTGGTAGCTGTCCTTGAAGAATTCATGAAAGAAGCTCTTGCCCAAAGTTTTTGATCATATTTTTGAGATAATTGTATCATGAAGTTGTATATTCAAGCTTTGGTGTTTGAAATTGCAGTTATAATCGTCTATAGGATTACTATTTAAGATTATTTGAAGCTCATTTCAGGTTTTTTTTTTTTAGAATTTTGAAATGTGACTTAATTAAATGTAAAAATCTGAGGAATGTCTTCACTGAGTCCTAGATATGTGTGTCAGAGTTGTGGAATTTTAGTATATCACTGGTCCCATCAATTCTAGAGTTTAGGGAGTTGTTGCTTAGAAAATGTCAGAGGTAATTTTGTGGCTTCTCTTAGGAATTTGATGCAGTAGTTAGCATTTTTTCCTCTCAGGAAGATCATAATACTTCTTTCTCAATGGATTGTAGCTTCTTTTTTTCAAAAAAAAAGTAATCCTAGACTTAGGACAGATTAGTGTCACTAAACCACTCCAAAAAAAGGTCTATACGCTCTGTGGGTGCTGGTACATTTTTTGTCTGATTGATAATGGCAGTGATGATAAAGCCAGCAGTTAAGTCAATATGCAAATAAATCATGAGTGTGTAAGAAATTAAATGAACTTTAAAAACAGATGTACTAGCTTCAAGACAAGACATCTCTGATGGACAGCTACTACGGAAGTGGCCTCCGTCACCACTTTTCTTCATTCATTTGTTCACAGACATTTGCTAAGAGACTATATTTTCTTTCTTCTTCTAGATGAAAATGCTGGCGTTTTAAAACAGTGTTGAGGGGGAAAAATACATATATATAAAAATGCAAACACATTCTTCATATCAGAGTCACTCATTGATTTTAGTTTTTTGCACATTTGTTATAAGACTCAGATTATTTTACTCTGGATCAAAGTAAACTCAGCTAGCCATTTATAATTTCCATGGAAGCCAATTGCAGCTACACCCATATGATTGCAATTTGTTCTGTATAGTCTTTAGTAAATTTATTTGATAATGATTTTTGTTGAGAAGACCAGATCAGTTCTTACTGCCTTCAAGATGCTCAGAGGGACACAGGCCCGTAACACAGAGGAATCCTCTCTTAAACGGATCTCAGTTCACATTAAGTGCTGAGTTTTAACTTTCAGAATGACTGACAATGGCTTTCTGCTTTTTTCTCTGCAGAAGTCTAGGGACATGACTCACTGAGCCATTTCTTTTCCTTTAATGAGAAATACAATTCAGGATCTTCATAAAGGCTTTCATATGCCTTTAAACGTTAATAATTTAGATTGTAGACAGTGTAGAAAAAAATCCAAGTACTTTTTTTTTTTTTAAATAACATTACATTCAGGATGACTATGGAAAATCAGCATTTTATGACACTAGAATCCGACTGTCTTTTTTTCTAATGCACTTGATTGTCCCACTTAAAAATCAATTTTTTTTTTTTTTCAATAAGCAACATTAGGACATCAGAATTTTGAGTCTGGAAAACATTTTTTCATTTTTAAATTAACATATCATTCAAGAGTCTGTGTTGTAAATGGCATTTGAAAGCAAATATATTACCTGCTTCAAATCATTTATGGATATAGGCAAGGTATAATGATATATTTTGTGTGTGTGTATATATAATATATATACAGTCATGTGTTTCTTAATGTCCACAATACATTCTGTGAAATAGGATGTTATGGGAATTGGACGTTGTATGAACACCTTATTATATACAGGCAGTCCCTGGGTTACGAATGTCCGACTTATGGAAAACTTGTACTCAAGTACAGGCTACCATAAAGCCTATTATATTAAAAATTTGAGTTACATACATACAGTGATTTGTAATAACAAACTCATGCACTATTTTGTGATGCTCATGAACACACTGCACAATTTCAAAGTGTTTCTTAAGTGTTAAACATCCACTACATCCTGTTCTCTGATTGGGATTTCTGAACTCTATTATAACTTTGGAAACCCTGGTGGCGTAGCGGTTAAGAGGTGAGCAGTTCGTATCCACCAGGTGCTGCTTGGAAACCCTGTGGGGTAGTTCTGCTCTGTCCTGTAGGGTCACTATGAGTTGGAATCCACTTGACAGCAATGGGCTTTTTTTTGTTATGATCTTATAAGACCAGGGATGTATATGCAGTTGGACGTTGCTCAAATGGACATTATATGGTGCGTGACTGTATAGTAATGTAGGGTCCCTGTATTATACAGTTGCACACAATACAGTCTTAAAAGTCTGTGGCAAACTGTATGTCACTACTATAGACAAGGAAAACAGTGACATGAAATTGAGTATCTTGTTGGCCATGAGAAGAAACTTAGAGTTCATGACCAGAAATGTGTATTCAAATTTTAATAAGCCAGTGTATTAACTTTTAAAGTTTTAAAAAAGATTTGTGTAGACCTGGAGTAAATTTATGTTTATGTATTATTTGTGTGCTCTACATACAAAGGAAATGTATGTCATGTATCAAAAATAGGTCTCAGTTTATATGTTAATTATACTTGTAATAATAATAATAATAAAGAACTTAGCTTCTAATCAAGGCAGTCATTTTTATTTAATGAACTCAGTTCTCAAGCCTGATGTTTTTATTAATTCCCAACAAGTTTATAGGGGAAATTATACTTGTTACGCTAAAAAATTTGCTGAAGAAAATCAAATCGCCTGCTGGGACACATCTTTCTGCATCTTTCGGAAGGTATTAGGCAGGGTGCAAGAGCAATTTCCTTTGCAATGTTTTATTCATTGTCCAGTAAAGTTACACCCATAGAACTCAATAACCCAAGTCACTTCCTTTCACTCTCATTCATTATTAATCATGACAGAATGCCTGTCCTTTACCAGAGGATCACTTATACCAGATGCCAAAAAGCCTGCAGGCTTCTCGGAAATAAGATTCAGTTACTAGGACCACATTTTCCTAACCGTGTGTCTTCTCAGCTAATGGAAACCCCGCTGGCTTCAATGAAATCTTTCCACTTGAGGTCTAAGAGGTGGCTCCAGTTCTTTTAACTGCTAAACTTCCTAAATGTGCCTCACAGAGTTTAAATCACACAGATCGCTGAGGTGGTGTAAACGCCTATCTTCTGGAAATTGGAGGTGGTAGGGAGCAGTAACAAATTTATAGCTGTAGTTTTTTTGTAAACTAGGAAGGCTGGCAAAGTGGCGATTCCCTTAAATGAACACTAAGTGACTATTCCAAGGCTCATTACTGGGACATTAGATGACCCTAGGCCTAATGCAAGGAGACTGGCTCTTTAAACAAACACTCCCCGAAGCTTCCACATGTTTAGTGTCCCTGGAGTCCTATACAAACCTGAGAGCTGAGCGCATGCGCTTTAGAACCAGGCAGTCTTGGTTGTGATTCCAGCTATGCTATTTACTATCAGCAAGTTACTAAACTTCTCTAAGCATTCCCCTCATGTAAATATGGGGATATTTATACCCATTTCACACCAACAAGTGGTGCCATTAAATAAGAATAATGTATTGAAAATGCCTACCCACATGCCAAGGAGCCCTGGTGCTGTAATGGTTAGTGAAGGTTGGTGGCTGGAACCCATCAACAGCTCCCCACGAAAAGACTTGGTGATCTGCTCCTGTAAAGACTACAGCCTAGGAAACCCTATGGGGAAGTTCTACTCTGTCCATGGGGTTGCTATGAGTCGACTTGAGAGCACACAACAACCCACGTGCCTAACAGGTAGTCACTAAATTGCATTTCTTAATTAACTTAGTAAACACCTTACTAAGTTTTTGCAAGGATGAGAATCTACTAGAAAGGAGAACCAGAAAAGGAAGATGATAAGAGGACAAAGGCCGTGTTAACAGCTTCTGGCTATCCAAGAAGCTGGCCTTTTATGAAATGCCGCTCATGTTTGAGCCTGTAACTGACAAACAGGAATTCCAGTGCTCAAAAAGGGCCCAACTTTTTCTTCTAGAAGTCAGTTCTTTTCCAAATAGAAGTCAGCTCTATGATCTTTAGTCCCCAACTGCATTCTAAAGACTGATTTGGGATGGTTTCTGCAGCATTTAGGAACAGTTTTAAATGATACCCAGAAAACTGATGTGTAAGAACATTACGGGAAACAGCCTTCACGCTGAATTTAATAGGGTAGTTTAATCTGCAAATGAAATTTAAGATTATGAATGGCAAAACTACACACACTGCCCTTGATTTACAAACACTGGCAAAAACAATTCACCTTCCAATCTTCATTCAAAACCAGTTTGATTCTTTAACTTGCCTTTTACACTTATCCTTCCCTCTTTTTTCCCTCTATGTGAACTGCCATGCCCTTTTTACCCTGAGAACATTCCTAGCCCATTCTCAAGATCAGCATGGTGAAAGCACCTAGAAAGACTGAAAGGCTAGGCTGTTGAGGTGAAGGAGGAAGTATCTAGGGTATTTCAAAGATTCCTCCAATAATGATAGTTATAAAATTAATTTCTCATAGGGGTATAGTATAAGAGTGGAAGAGCAAGGCAGGACACCCACCAGGACGGCTGGCACAGAGGCTCTTAACCGGTATCAGAGTAGAGCTTTGCTCCATAGGGTTTTCAGTGGTTGATTTTCAGAAGCAGATTGCCAGGCCTTTCTTCTGCAGTGCCTCTGGGTAGATTCAAACCTGTAACCTTTTGGTTAGCAGCTTAGTGCATTAACCATTTGCACCAGGCACTCCACAAACCCCCAGAAGTTGTACACAAAATTGCCTACACGTGTACATTTTTATGGGAAGAGAGATCATAGCCTTCTCAGCCACTCGAGAGTCCAATGATTCAAAAAAGGCTAAGAACCTAGAAAGACTGGCGCCCTGGACCGATGCCCCATGTGTATTTTATAAATCATATATCCGCTGCCACTGCTGCTGCTCACCCTCTCCCACCCGCCCTGGCCCAGACCGAGCTGAAACAGGCTCCCATGCCAGCCCTTCACGTCACTTCCTGAGGAACCAATGGCTTAAAAAAAATCTTTAATGGAATCTGTGCTCAAATAATATGTTACAACAAAAATATACAGAATGTACACAATACAAAAATATTTAGAAACAAACATTGCAGCTTGTGTTTCTTTTCGGCTTTCGATTGACTCAAGTCCTCGGAGGGGAAGTTCACTGTTCAGCACTGTAATTTAAGGCAGAGGAGCATCAGTGCTTTCCAGCCAGCACTGGGAGCGATGTAAAGGATGTCAGGGAAGGACTTTCACTGCACCCGGGAATCTGCATTATTTGCAAACTAAATCGGATGCTGGGGCAAGATCTGGGCTTGGTGAGCAATGACTGCCCTAATCCTCTGGGTGAGAATGGTTCTCACAGAAATTGAGAGTCCTATTAGCTGGCAAAAGAGCCTCATTAGGGAGCTTTTCCTAATTAAAAAATGAATGATTAATGGTGTCATTAAAGTGAAATTTCTCCTTTAAAGGTTTGTTTTTCTTTCCCCAGTTTCTGGGATTCCTCTTCCATTTAACGAGCAAACGAGCCTATGGCTGCTGTTTGGGGATTCCCCAGCTTTCAATTTCTGTATCCTGTGGATTAAAGCCGACCTACCTCCACCAGCCTGAAGATTTACTCTACCCTGTGCTTCACCACACGCTGCTAGACAGCCATATTGGAAGAGGAAGGAGAGAGAGAGAGGAAGACAATGCCTGCCCAGTAACGGGTAGTACTGCTGGGGCAGAGGGGCTTGGGAGGGTGGTGAGAACTAAGGGACCTGCGGAGGAGAAAGAGACCAAAAAGTAAACCTTTTTTACCAGACAGCTGTCCCTCAGCCCTGGGTTGGAGGCCTGGGTTCTGTGAGGCGACTCTACTGTCACCCTGTGTGGCCCTGCTCGGAAGTGAGAGGGTGGTGGGGTGGGTATTAAGCAGACCAAAGACCTTTTGTCTGGCTTGTGGACACTGTTCTGACAGCGAGCTGCTGGGGCCGATGGCCTGAGATGTAGATGTACCTTCCTCTCACTAGGGCACATAAAAGGGCAGGCAGGGCACAGGCAAGGTGCCCTGGGCTGAAGTGACTCAGCCAAAATCTGAACCACCTCAGGCCGACAGTTCTCAGCATAGTGTCGACACAACAGTAGCATGACCTTAGGAGTGTGGGGACCGAGACAATCTATTCAGCGTTGGGCAAAGATGGGAAAGGACTTGGCATAGCGTGGGGGTGAGTGAGTATGGCCCTGGGTGGGAAGACCCTTCCCATTTACATGTGATCATTGGGGAAAGGGAGCCACAGTGGCCCAAGACCTCCCAAAAGCTTGGCCTGTGTGACTCTGGAGCTCTGATGGGCGTAAGGCTGGTAGAGGGCAGTTCCCACATTTCTGTCCGTGTTCCTGCATGAAGCCAGCCCCTCTGCCTCCTAGGACTAGGGTTCTTCATCCTTCTGGGCTGTCAGTGGTTGGGAGTTCCCTATAAAGGGAATGACATATAAAGAGAATGGCATGCTTTGTCAAAGGTCATCCTCCTCACACCCTCACCTCAGGGCCTACAACAGCTCCTGTTTTCCTACTTGTGAAATGGATTTGGGGGTGGAGTTGATAATCTCCAAGTTCCCTCCCAGCTCTAAGCATCTGAGTCTAGGGGATGTCGTCACCTCTGACACTCATCCACGCACCCAACAACTCTTTCTCCAGAAGTGAATTCATTTTACTGCAGCCTCCTATCCCCCACAACTCAAATGGACATGTGGCCTCAATATTCCTGCCACAGGCTCTCTTCCCTCCTAAAGAAGAGACAACAGAAACTTTTCAGGTAGGAAGGCCACTCCAGAGGTACACAAAAGCAGTACTGAGCAAAGCTGAGGAAAACCTCGACATCCCGAGGGTCCCCAGAAGGGCCCAGTTTCCCCCCACCACTGATAACAATTTACCTACCAGCCATACACTCTCAGGGAGGCACCTGGAAGGGGGAGAGGATGGGAAAGAAGGTGACAAGTTTTGCTAAAAGCAAGGTTACTCAGCAACCACACCACACCACACACTCTCTAGCCTCTCGCCCCGCAACACCTTTCTTCCCACATACACTGTCCACACACTTCCACTGCCCCTCACCTGCCTCCTCTAGTCTCCTACTAGCCTCACATTATCTTTCCCATCACACATATCTCCACCCACCAAACCACACACACACACACACACACACACACACACACACACACACACACACACACACACACACACACAATCAAAATACTGTTTCCATAACCAAAGGAGAGATACAATGTAGAATCAGGGCAGTGGAAGGGAAGGAAAAGACCCTAAAAGCAAGGCAGGGGCATGGGATGTGTGGGATGTCAACATTCTGGGAGAAAGGGCAGGAGAAGTCTAGAGTACATACTGGGCCTTCCCAGGGTAGAACTCTGGCCAAGTTTATTTCCCTCCTCACTGAGTAGCCCCAGGGCAAGGCTGGGGCCTGGAGCTTATAGAACTTCCTTCCTCTGCCTACCCTAGGCTCTAGCAGCCATGGGCCATGCCCCACTGCTCACCGACAGGCACAGAGGGGCTTCCCTCAGGCCAAAGTCAACATGTTCATCAACAGGCCCTCTTCTTAGACCAGAGCCCCAGACCCAGCAGCTGTGGAGGGAATGCTTCCTGGTATGCAACTACTTCTGGGCTGGAGAAGGGACTGCCTGGCTTCTACAACCCTCAGACCCTCCTGACATCTCTCAGGATTTCTCAGGGTGGAGATGAGGAAGAAGGCTGCTGCTCAGCTGGTGGTAGGGACAGGGGAACCCTGAACACATGGAACAAACCCAGCCCAAGGGCAGGGCCAGTTTCACTGCCACCCAGGCCCATGCCCTGGCCCAATGTCATCAGAACAGTCGAGAAGAATGATGGTAGCCACATCTGACTCTTCCATCAGGTACCTTTCAGAAAAGAGCCTCCACTGTCTGTCCAAATCTAAACACGACAATTACAGCAGATCAGCATCTCTTGTCCTCTCCTCCTGGCCTAACGCAGCTGGTGATGAGTAAAAAAGAATGCAGATGCTCTCTCCTGATGCTTCTTCTCTCTCCCCTCCCCCACCTATGTCCTTGAGCCCCTCAGGGGGGTGGTGGCAGCTTCAAGTCCAGCAGGGTGTAGGCAAAGATGTTCCAGAAGATGGCAAACAGCACAAAGATTGCGTACATGGCCACAAAAATCCACCACAGCGACTGGTCCTGCAGCCTCTGCTCGTAGTTCCTCAGGACCACCACACCCAGGGTGATGCCCACAGCCACGCCACCCAGGTGTGCCACGAAGCTCGGGTGAGGGCATGGGGGATAAGCCGACGGGTGGAATCGGAGCCACACAGCCCGCCCAAACTCCATGCTCACTGCAAGGGGAGGAAGCACACAGAAGTCACAGGCGAGCCACCGGGCATGGGCCAAGGGAGGGGCCTTGCACGCCATCTACCCACCCACCCATTCAGCCATCCACCCATTAATTCATTCATTATCTGTGAGGCCAAGCACCATTCTACACCCTGTAGATATAATAATGAAGAAGACAGCCTCTGTTCTCACCAAGCTTAAAGGGGCTGGCGATAGAACAGCAATCAATCACACACATAAGGTAATTTCAGTAAGAGATACATCTATGAAGAAAAAGTGATGTAAAATCAGTGCTGGGCATGGGTGAGGGGGATTCTTTAGGAAGTCAGACAAGATGGCCCCAAAGAGGTGACATTGGAGCTGAAATCTGAGTATCAGGAGGGACCTGAGAAGAGCATTTCAGGCAGAGGGGACAGCCTGTGCAGCAGCCCAAAAGGCCCTTGCACCTCTGTGCTCACACTGTGCATCCTGGTGACTCAGCTTCCCCATCTGTATAAATGCTCAGTCTCTATGTCATAGCCTGCACTGTTGGAACATTAATAATAGCTTCAAAATGTGCTCAGCACTTTACTGCTTATGAAGTGTTTTCACATATTATCTCAAAACCCACAGGAAGCCCTCAGAACCAGTCCTTTTGCAGTCAGAAGGAAGGGATGAAGAGGGAGAAGGATAAAGAAGGAACGGAAATAAACAATACCAACTCCACTCCCAAAAAGTGCTGGAATTTATCTCTTGACAGATTCTTAAAATGCCACCACCCCATTCTCCAATCCATCCTTCTTGGGTGAACTTCTTGGACCTGCCAGTCAAATGGGGAGGTAGTCTCTTGAAAGCACAAGTGCCGGGAAATGGTACCATTTCATTACCAACCACTAAAAGAACATGCAGGGTAGGTATTCTCATTCCCATTTTACAGATGAGGAAACCAAGGCAACTTTGACAGCTTGAAAGAGAGCCCTTTGAGGGGAATTTTATACTTTCTTATTTATCATTTAATTAGCCAAGGTGCCTCTCTCCACCCTAACCACCCCACGGGTGCCAGAATCTCCAGGGATTCCGGGATTGCCTTTGGAATTGCGCAACCTTCTAATTTGGGCCCTGCAACTCTCAGTATGGCCAATAGATGGCAGAAAAGGAGAAGCCCAGGGATGGATTTCTGCACTGCCCCCCATTCTATCCCCAGGCCCTGGGGCATCCTTCCTGCCTTTGCTTAGCAGATGCTAAGTTAGATAACGGAGGTCTGAAAGGCACTGGTCCCCAACTTCAAAATAGCATTTTCGTTTTTATGATTCTTAGAGCTGGATTTTTTTTTAACAGTAAGACTCAGGCTGCTCCTCCCTTCCTGAAAGCAGACAAACTCAAGAGTCTGTGAAGACACTTGTTGAAGTTATTCTCACCTCTCATCTCTACTGCACCCACCCTACTGCCCATGCTCAAAGTGTCCATGGGCTTTAAGGCTGGAAGGTCCTCTCTGGGATTAGAGACCATCCAATCTCAGTAAGGAAACTCAGATCCAGAGGGCAGAAGCCCCACACGGGTCAGGGGCAGACCCGATTTCCTGGAGACAGACTGAAGGTCACAAGGTAAGGAGCAAGGAGTGTGGAAGGGGATGACGGTGGCGGCCACAGAGGCAAATTTCATCCCAAATTTTTCCTAGCTTAATCTTCCTCTGACCCACATAGCAGGTGGCTGATTCGGGCAGAGAACATCAAAGTTCTCACCGCCCAGCTTGGCTAACGTGTAGAGCATTAGAAATGGTACAGACTGGCTCTGAATTCTGGTTCTATCATTACTTAGCTGGGTGACTTTGGGCAACTTAACTTTGAGCCTCGAGTTCCCCACTTGTAAATTAAGCCTAATACCCTCTACATAGGCCCGTTCTGAGGACTGAAGGACACAATGTTTGCTCTTCTATTTCCACCACTTCAGTTCAGTCTCTTATCTCTTTCCATCTCAGAATGGGCCTCTTGGCCTCTGATCGCATCTCCTTCCACCCCGTCCCAACCTATTCTCTACACTGCAGCCTAACCACTTTCCTCAAACTCAAATCTGTCAATAACTCCCTTGCTTAAAGCCCTCCGGTGGCCTCCCAGGACATTCAGGATGAAGTGCAATTTTTTTTTTCTTTGCATTTAAAGCCCTTCATGATTTGATTCCTGTTATCTCACCAGCTTTCTCTCTAATCACAATCACACACAGTCCCAAATCTCACAGTTAGTTTTGCTAAACACCTGGCTGGCTGTGACACTTCACCCACAGGTGTCTTTGCTCATGCTGCCCCTTTGCCTGCAATGCTCTCCTGCACCTTGTCTACATGGTCAACATCTGCTTGTCTTTAACACTCAAAATGACCTCTGCAGTACAACTGAGCTCTCCCTGGGCTGGGACTAAAGCTGCTGTTCAGAAGGGATTCACGGATTAGTTTGTGGGACCTGCTAAAATCACAAATTTTAATGTGTGTGCATATGTATGTGTGCGTGTGTTTTCTGGAGAAGGGGTCGCTGGTTTCCAACAGGGGATCTCAAAGGATTGACGCTGAGACCCAAAAGGTTAAGAAGTTCTTTTCCTTGATCTAGGTGCTGGTTTTGGGGCTGGACAGTCATCCTGCGTGCATTTTTCTATGTGTATATGTCAATAAAAAGTTCAAGAAATTCTATTCGGGGTGATGAGAAAGTTTGGGAAATTAATAGCGGTGATGGTTGCACAACCCTGTGGCTATAATCAATGCCACTGGACTGCACACTTACAAATGGTTAAAATGGCAAATTTTGTGTTTTATATATATATATATATATTTTACCACAATTAAAAAAAAATTACCCCTATAAAAAAGTTTAAAGAACAGACTTCTCTCATAGCACTGCTACTTTGTTGTACATACTTATTAACATGTCTGGTTTTGTTTTGTTTTCTCTTGACCAAAAACCCCTAAGGAAAGGGACTGTGCATCCTTGTGTCTCAGGGCCTGGTACAGCGCTCCCTTCCCACCAGCCTGCCTGTCAGTACTTACTACAGATCAAGGCCACAGCCATCCGTAGCAGCTTGAACTGGCACTTCATGCCTGACCAGTTCTAGGGAAAAAGGAGAGAGTTCCATTAGTTCCAGATCAGACTACTCGTCTGAAGATGTATCTTACTTAAGAAAAGCTGTCATTTAAAGAAAGAGCCTCCATTAAGTCCTGAAGGAGGGAGACGTGGTTTAGCAGCAGAACATGCCAGTCTGGCTTCAAGATTTTAGGCAATGGTAAGTGCCATGTAAAAAACCCAAAACACCAGGCCTTTCTTCCAAGGTGCCTCTGAGTGGGCTCACACTATCAACCTTTCGGTTAGTAGTCAGGCTCTTTTTTTTTTAATTGTGCTTTAGGTGAAAGCTTACAGCTCAAGTTAATTTCTCATACAAAAATTTATACACATATTGTTATGTGACACTAGTTGCAATCCCTATAATGTGACAGCACACTCCCCCTTTCTACCCCAGGGTTTCCCATGTCCATTCAACCAGTTCCTGTCCCTTCCTGCCTTCTCATCCTGCCTCTGGACAGGAGCCACCTTTTTGGTCTTGTGTATCTGCTTGAACTAAGAAGCACACTCTTCATGAGTATTATTTTATGTTTTATAGTCCAGTCTAATCTTCGTCTGAAAAGTGACAAATTTTATGTTTTGTATATATATAATGGGAATGGTTTTAGTTCTGGGTTAACAGAGCATCTGGGGGCCATGGCTTCAGGGGTTCCTCCAGTCAGTCAGACTATTACGTCTGGTCTTTTTATGTGAATTTGAGTTCTGCTCCACACTTTTCTCCAGCTCCATCAGGGACTCTGGGTTGTGTTCCCTGTCAGGGCGGTCATTGGTGGTAGCTGGGCACCATCTAGTTCTTCCAGTCTCAGGCTGATGGAGTTTCTGGTTTATGTGGCCCTTTTGTCTCTTGGGCTAATATTTTCCTTGTGTCTTTGGTGTTCATCATTCTCCTTTGCTCCAAGTGAGTTGGGACCAATTGATGCATCTTAGATGGCCGCTTGCAAGCTTTTGAGACCCCAGACGCCACTCACCAAAGTGGGATGCAGAACATTTTCTTAATAAATTTTGTTATGCCAATTGACCTAGATGTCCCTCGAAACCATGGTCCCCAGTCGTCAAGCTCTTAACCATTTGTGCTGCATAGGGCCTCCAAGTGCCATATAAGTGTTTGATATTAGTAACTCCAAAAATACCCAAACGTGTTGCTGTCGAGTCAATTCTGACTCATAGCAACCCTATAGGACAGAGCAGAACTGCCCCATAGGGTTTCCAAGGCTGTAAATCTTTACAGAAGCAGACTGCCACATCTTCCTCCCGTGGAGCAGCTGGTGGGTTGAAACTGCCGGCCTTTTGGTTAGCAGCAGAGTGCTTAACCACTGTGCTGCCAGGGCTCCTCCCACTAGTAACTGGACCTTAGTATTTATGACTGTCATAAAAGCACTTGAGCTGCACCAACAGTAGAATAGAAGAATCTAGATTTAGGGAGATGAATGTCCCTCTCACCTCTACATGGACAGACAACACTTGAGAGTTGCATTAATTGCTAGGTCCCAAAGCTGAAAAAATCTGCTGCAAAAGACCTCTTTAAAGTGTTAAAAGGCAAAGATGTCACTTTAAGGACTAAGCTGTGCCTGACCCAAGCCACGGTGTTTTCAGTCACCTGATATGTCCAGCAAAAGCTGGACAATGAATAAGGAAGACCAAAGAAGAACTGACGCCTTTGAGTTATGGTGCTGGAGAAGAATGTTGACTATACCATGGACTGCCAAAAGAAAGAACAAATCTGTCTTAGAAGAAGTACAGCCAGAATGCTCCTTAGAAGTGAGGATGGCGAGACTTTGTCTCACATACTTTGGACATGTTATCAGGAGGGACTAGTCCCTGGAGAAAGACATCAGCTTGGTAAAGTAGAGGGTCAGCGAAAAAGAGGAAGACCCTCAACGAGATGGATTGACACAGTGGCTGCAACAATGGGCTGAAGCATAACAGTGATCATGAGGATGGCGCAGGACTGGGCAGAGTTTTGTTCTGTGGTGCATAGGGTTGCTATGAGCAGGAATTGACTCGATGGCACCTAACAACAACAGCAAAGCTGAAAACGGATGCAGGACAGCAAACCAAGTAAGATCAAAGCAGAACCATGGATGAGAAAAGAACTCAAAATCCTCCATATGAGGAACGAATGAGGGAACCAGGAACATTCAGTGTAAAGAAGAGAAGACTTATTGTCAAGTATCAAGTAAGCCAAAAACAAGGAAAAGAACTATTCAGTGTAACCTATGAATGGAAGACTCAATGGATGAAGACTTCAGTGAGACATTTCTTAGCTCGGGATCAGTTTCCATTCCTAATAAGCAGAGCTGTCCAAAGATGGAACCATCTATCTTGGAGGTCATGAGTTTCCCATCACTGAGAGGCTCGAACAGGGGCTTCCCATCCCTTGGAGGGGATGCTGTAGCCGAGAATCAGGCATTGGAAAGGGGGTGGGTCAGATGGCCTTCAAACAAATCCCTCTCTTCCCTGAGAACCTCCAAAGCAGATAAACAGAGTACATTATTCGCCTTACAAAAGGATTTTTCACTTTACAAAAGACTTCGCCACAGGGCTCCTTTTGAGGGGCACTCCTGCAGCGCATTCAAAATGCTACTCCATTTACACAGACGTTGCGCACACAGAAACGAGCCTGCGGTCTGCCTGGAACACATCAGCTGAGGGAAGGAGGTAACTGGGTCCAGCCAGGGGACTTCCGGTCCCTCCTCCCACCCACCCAATCTGCCTTTGCTGCCTGGCCCAGGCCCAGCTGGGGGGCATGTCTCACACTCCTTTGAGGTTGGAGAGAACATACATTGAACTTTACAGAGGTCCTGAACATTGGCACGTACAATAATGCCTATGAAAGCTTCAATCAAGCAAGCAAGACACAGGGAAGCTGCCAAAAAAGGGGAGAAATCCTTGTGGCGTTCGGCTTCTTGCCCACTCCTCCCTTTTTCCCATTATTCCTCAATGACCAGCAACCCCTTCTTCACAAAAGGCGGGTGGGTGACACACGGCTCTGCTTTACATGGGGAGTCTAATCTTCGCTTGGTGACATGCTCTATTCTAGGAAGCAGATGGCAGGACAGCACCGTCACCTGCTGGCATCTGCCCTCAGAGGCGCCTCGCCAGGAGACAGGGAACAAAATGAGAGTTGGTGCCCTCCACTGGATTTAGCAACCTAATCCGAGCTAGCTCAATTAGCTGATGGTGGGCAATCCCTCAGCTCCCCTACCAGGCTGAAGCCTTAGGATGGGAAGGTCCTTGGTGGACAATCTCATCCTCAAGAGGAACACCATCTGCTGCTAAGCAGCTGACAAGATGGCCCTTCAGGCCCCATTTGAACATTGCCAGTGGCAGGGAGCTCACTACCTCTCAAGACAGCTGTGTGAAGGGGCTCCAATACCTAAAAAGTTGTTCCTCCTATTATTTGGCCAACTTTTGCCTCCCTATAATGTCTACCCATGAGGCATTGGTGGTTCAGTGATAGAATTCTTCTCTTCCATGAGTGAGACCCCAGTTCGACTCCTGGCCAATGCACCTCATGCACAGCCACCACCCATCTGTCAGTGGAGGCTTGCCTGCTGCTCTGATGCTGAATAGGTTTTACAAGAGCTTTCAGATTAAGACAGACTAGGAAGAAAGGCCTGGCAATCTACTTCTGAAAATCAGCCAATGAAAACCCTATAGATCACAATGCTCCGATCCGCAACCGATGGGGATTGTGAAGGACCGGGCAATGTTTCGTTGCATTGTGCATGGGTCACCATGAGTTGGGAACACACTCAACAACATCTACCGCAAGGGTCTTCATTCTCTCTCAAAAAGCTATAAAGAACACTTCTAATATCACTTTTCCCCATAAAACCCTCTGAATATCTTATCTGAAGTTGGCGTCTCTTTCACTATGTTCCGAGTAATAAAAACTGTCTAAGTCTAGAATGTATCGGCCACTCTACTTCAAGCTGAGGTCCCCTGGCTCCATGCTGTTCTGCCTCTGGGCCCCTCTGGGATTCATCTTAGGAAAGCAAAGTCTGCATTCTTGGCCTGGCAAGGCCATCGGTATGTTGGCCCACTGCAGGCTCATGGCTCTTCATGCTGCCCTGGCTACCTTCTTAGAGACAGCATTACTCCCCATTCCCTGTGGACTCAAGCAGCCCTAGGATCAGAATTCCTTTTCCTCTAGTGTCCTCATTCGTAAATGTGATACCACAGTGGTATCTATCTCGTTTACTGACTGCATCAAGTCATTGTTGTTGTTAGGTGCCCTCGAGTTGGTTCCAACTCATAGCAACCCCATGCGCAACAGAACAAAACAATGCCTGGTCCTGCGTCAACCTCATGATCGCTGTTATGCTTGAGCCCATTGTTGCGGCCACTGTGTCAGTCCGTCTACTTGAGGGTCTTCCTCTTTTTTGCTGACCCTCTACTTTACCAAGCATGATGTCCTTCTCCAAGGACTGATCCCTCCTGATAACATGTCCAAAGTATGGGAGACGAAGTCTCGCCATCCTTGTTTCTAAGGAGCATTCTGGTTGTACTTCTTCCAAGACAGATTTGTTTGCTCTTCTGGCAGTCCATGGTATTTCAATATTCTTTGCCAACACCATAATTCAAAAGAGTCCATTCTTTGGTCTTCCTTATTCAGCGTCCAGCTTTTGCATGCATATGAGGTGAAAAAAACACCATGGCTTGAGTCAGGCGCACCTTAGTCCCCAAGCTGACATCTTTGCCTTT